AGGAGTCAGTATGACATTCTGACTCTCACCTTAACGACAGGGCGATTCGTCCCCAAGCTGCCTCAACAGAACATCCTCACTTCTCCTCCCCAACCTACCAACAATCTGGATATCGATGGATGCACTTTCCACGTATTTTTCCACTTTGACTTGCAGGTCGTATTTCCCAGAGTGACTCCTCTCTGCTTTTCTGATAAATATGATTGTGTCAGTATCGGAGTTGCGGATGTTTATTTGATTCTTATCAATGTCCGCACCATCCTTCTTCCAAGTTAATTCTGGTCTGGGTTTTCCCTAAAGAGGAAGACAGAAAAAGTAGAGGGAAGGGGGCTTGGATTATTGTCCCAAGGTTGTTTTTCCTTAGCATGTCCAACAGTGACTTACTCCACTGTTGGACAGCAGTGTGGTGGCGCACTGAAGCTTTGACAGTCACACTCTCTACTGCCTATGGCTGCATTATGAGGCCAGAGCTGACTATTGCGTGCCAAGCTTAGAGAATACTGTAAATAATTATTCTTTTGCTCCAGCAAAAATCTGATCATTTTCACGTATTTCATTGAGTGGCATCAAGACTTTAAATGTCATTTATCTCTTTATGGGAATTGCGTTCACTTCAGTGTAAGCAAGCACATGTTGGTTTTCTGAGTAGTATACTGAGTAGTTCACTTCAAATGAAGGTCCGTTTTATGGATATATAAGACCAGAGAAAATCTTCAAGTATTTCTTATTTTGGTATTTCCCCCATGTTTCCACCCTGCCTCACCATCATCCCTGAGTTTCAGACAAGACTATATCTTACTTGTTTCACAAATCTTTGACAGTTTTATAACTACTCTGCTTCTGAAGTAGGAGGTTGTTTCATTACCTCAAATCTCTTCCATTAATGTCTACTCTCCTTCAGAGGAAATCCTGAATCCTGGTGAAATTAACTGCCAGAAGATCTACTTCAACACCGAGCACTGGAAAGAGGAAAGGCGTGACCCCTGAATTCCTACCTGGAAAGGTATAACCAGATTGACAGCTTCTCCAACTCTGCGAATATAGGTTTGTTTCAGGTGCCTTGGGATGCGAATCTTTGGCGGCTCTGCATCGGGGTAGAATGGCACAAGTTTGTGATCAGTATAGTCCACTGGGGAGAGTCTCACATCAGCCGGCGGGCACAGTCCCAGTGGAATGTCTTTGGGTTCCTGTCTCTGCAGCAGAATCTTAAATGTGCTACTAGCAGATTCTACACAGTAACTTTGGATTCAAGTGTTTTCAAGTAGAAATGTTTTAATGGGTTTCCCCCACAAACGTGACCCCCCAGTCACCTTGCTTTTACTGCAGCTTCTTATGCCTATGGTAATTATAGAAAAACACCACATTTCCTCTCAAACCTAATATATACTTTTCAATTCCTAGCAGCAAGTATATTCTCTGATGAAGATTCCAGATCATCTGCAGACCCCATGGACTGTAAGAATTCCCATTTTGCTTTCTCACTAGAAACAAAAATATTCAGCACTTAGTACTTGCTACTTAGGTAATTGGGTTGCAATTTGATAGTAACATTCTCTCTGTGATTATGGCCAAGTACATAATAGGCAGCCTAGCCACTTGTGCTAATGTTCATTAATTAAACACCAGACAGAGAGTAAAACACATTGCTGCAGTCCCATTAGGAGCAGCAATCAGAGGCTCATGGGCTCACAGGGACAGCAGAAACTCTCATCACAGGGAACGCTTAGCAAGCCCAGACACTGAGCTAGAGGGTTTTCAGGAAGGGACTAATTTAAGCCTCATAGTCATCTTAAGGGATAGGTAATGTTATCTGTGATAAAGAAAACAAAGCATAGGAGGTCAGGCAACCCCCCCGCCCAGACAACACAGCTAGGATTAAATTCTGGAGTCAGCCTTAGTGTTGGCTTTTAGGGGCACAGTCTTTTGAGTTAGAGAGATCTGGGTTCGAGTCTGATCTTACTCTCCTGTTCTTCAAGTGGGATTGTTATGAGTATTGAGAAATTTAATTCATGTAAAATTTTTATTATAATGTAAAGTACTTATTATAATGGTTGACAATGGTAAGTGATTAAAAGAAATATCTAGGAGATGATGGCGTGATGATGGTGATGACAGTGATGGTGGTGATGATGATGAGATGGTAACTATAATGATAATGACAATGATCATGGTGACAATTATGAACATTAGGGCTGGAGATTCTTTAACTCCTTATCATTTTATATGAGGAAACGTCTCTATAAGACTTCAAATTAAATCATCATCATGATTAAAAAATAATATATATTGGGGGTTATTCACTGGTAAGATAGGTTAAGCAAGCAACATGGATTTATTTTTTAAATTCTCACAACCTCTTTATGTGATACTATTATTATTTCTATTTTGTAGGTGGACATGAAGACTCAGAAAGTCAGTCTCTTGCCTGAGTCATATAACTAATAAATGAGGGAAATGGGATTCCACTTATACAGACTGGCTTTAGAATCTACTAAGAAAATGTGTATGCATCATGCTTTCATTCATCCATCTTCTGTCCTTTCATTTCCTATCTGTCAGGTCCATCCATCTGTCCATCCATCCATCCATCTGTCCATCCATCCTTCCATCTGTGGGGACAAGAGGGGGCTGGTCTCTTTCTGAGTTTTAAACATTTGAAAATTGTCAAGTCCATGATATAAGATACGATTTTCACTTAAAATCTCAAATATTTTTCATCAACAAAATGATCACAAATTAGTTTTCTTTGAAATGACAGGCTCACTCCATTCATTTTCTAAAAATTGTCTGCCAAATACCTGTCTGACTAGACATGTATAGTTTGTCAGTCACTCTTGGAAATAGAAATGGGATTTCATTTAAAAAGGGCATTACTGGGTCTCTGTGGTGAGGAAAATGGGGTTCCACTTATACAGACTGGCTCTAGAATCTACTAAGAATTTACTAAGGGGTTAAAGTCTCAGCACTATCATGCTATCACCAAACACGCATGAGCTCCATTCCCAACAGGGAGGTGAGAAAGGAAAACAATTAACTAATCAGTGCTAAGGGCCCCATCAATTGTATTCACCATCATTTTACACCCACAGTGCAGGCATTGGGCACTGCAAAGAGCAAATAATGATCTCATACTATTATGAAAATGGCTTTGACCTTGCAGACTCCACTTGAGCACCCTTGCTGCTGCAGGGACAGCTCGCCTGGCTGCATCCTCATTCTCTCCCTCCACTGTGGCCAGGCAGACCCACTGCACTGGCCCATGGCAACTGGTGAGTGACCTATCTACTTTCTCTTGGATGGCTTCTTATGATGGCAGTTGAATATGAGCATAAGGAATCTTACCTCCAATTTATGAGAATCAGACACTATCTCTACAGCAAGAGAAAACTCATCCTCCACCAACCTGTAGACCCTGAGCTGATTATCTCATTACCAGGAAGCACTGGTGAAATGTTCAAGGAGTAGCAGCAAAATAGGAGGTTTTAAGAAAGGGGCTCAACAAATAAAGGTTGTAATGTGAAATGGAGGCAGATTTTGAAAGCTGCTTGCCTATGATTTCCTTCACGAGAATGGGCTGGGAGTAGTATTTGGGTTCGCTGGCACCGGCGGCATTCACAGCCTTCACACGCACGAAGATCTTGGCGTCCATCGGCAGACCTGTGATGGTGAACTTGGTCTTGTCGATCAGATCAGTGTTAGCAACTATCCAGTCCTCAGCTAAAACCCATAAAAGAAAAAGGAATAGAGGTGGAAGAATGGTTAGTAGGTGAACTCACTATCACAGTAGACTCCGAATTAGAATTTTACTCATAATTAAATACATCATTTGGTGAGTACATGACGTTGCTCTGGCCTCATTACATGGCGAATACTTTTTACATTTAAATAAAGAAAGTGGCTAAGGGAAGAAGGACATTAGGACTATGTCTCTGTGAAACCTCATAGCCAAGACACTCAGTATGCTGAATACTAGTACTAAGGCTTGCTACGAATACTAAAACTGTCCCCAAGTATTTGCACAGATTCTATTCCAATTCTGTCTTATCAGCTATTTAGACTACTATATACATTAAATGTCAGAAAAGAGGACATTGTTATTCTAATGAATGAAAAATACCAACCTTTATAGTCATATATCTATTTTCTCTTGGTTGGTTTATTATGATGAAACATGAATGTAAGCATAAGGAACCTTATCTCCCACCTATGAGAGTAAGAAACTATTTCTGTGGCAAAGAAAAACATATTTCCAAAGCAAAGATCTCATAAGGAAATGTCATCATTCTTTAACCTCAAAAAAAAATTCTGATTTTAGTAAAGTTTTTGGTAACTTTGTCTACAACATCAAGAGAATTTAAACCTGGCATCCGGGACTTCCAACATTTCAGCATCTAAAAGTTTATACACAGTATGCCCAGAGGAGAATGAGTTTGGACCCTGCATTAATAACTTACTACCCATCTCCCTCTCTCTCTATCTCAAGAGCTTCTGTGTGTGTGTGGGGGGGGGTGGTAGATGTGTTTCATGCTTGGTCATGGAACATTCCCAGAAACTTTATCATATGATAAGAAAGCTTGAGAACTTTCACAGAGTACTTTACCTGGAAGATCATAGGCAGCCTCCCCATTTTCATCAGACTGTTTTGCTGATGTACCTTTGAGAATCCGTCATTAAAATGGATTAAAAACACCCACTTTCACACCAGAAGAATATCAAATCAGTAGTCAGCATTCTCTGTTAGTAAAGTATGCAAAGTATGCAAAGAAATTTGTCTTCAGAGTAGTGATGGAAGAGACCAGACACAGTAGAGGAAGGAAAGTCCTCAGGAGACTCAGAACCCACTCTGTGCAGACCCTGGTTTTGGTCTTGAGGCCCAGAGAAGAGAAGGAGAAAGCTGGCTAGACTACCTCCAGTTGGGGGAAGAAGAGGTAAAGTAAAACCAAAGCAAGACCCTAAAGACAAAGGAAGAGATGCTGTTGGACTCCACAAGGAAGTGACACACAGTGGAACAGTCTAGCCTATTGCCTGTCCCTGCTGCCCAGCCTGCGAGGGTCCTCTCAGGTCCCCTGGGAACATAGTGCTCCAGAGTGGGGTTCAGGCATCAGAGTCTGGGAGTCAGGCACTTGTGATTAGGCCAACCGTATGTCCCCAAGGCTTGAGTTGTCAGTGGAGAGGGAAACTGTCCAGGAACTCAGAAAGCTTCCCCAGTTGCCATGACAACATGGTCCTGGTCAAGAAAAGAAACTGAGCCTCTACCTGGCTGCATTCCACAAGGAAAGGGGGGAACACTGATGGCTCCCATGGTGGGACAGACACACCCCACTGGTTGTGAGATGACTTTTAGGTAGGAGGAGGAGCATGGGAGTGGTGACTTATTTCACATCCTGATCCCTCTTCACACAAACACATTCTTGGAAATTTCTCTCTTACTCCAACCCTTAAAAGTATGAGGGGGAAGAAGCAGGAAGCCAGAATATCCTGGCAGTTGGCAGGCATGTGGAAGATAAAAATCACTTAGGATTTTGGAAAAGAGATCCATGTTTCAGCAAGTGGCCAGTATGGGGGTTATGTGTTGATGTTTGCAGATTAAGAGATGATTGATGAGAAAGTGAAAACAGGAGATTGGGAAAATGTGTAGGAAAGAATAAAGAACTATGAAGGTAGAAATTCAAGAGCACACTAAAGACAAGATGGGGCGGGGGGAACGAAAACAGCCCATCCCTTCATACCTGAACTACTATAACTGAGGGAAACAGAGAGAGAAAGTGGTGTCCTGGAGATAGGGAAGGAGCAAGAAAGTATTGAATACATAAGGAGAATTTTTAAGAAGGACAAGGAAGAACTAGCATGAAGGACAAAAACAAAGAAGAGTAATACGCTGCAGGCATTAAAAAAAGAGAGAGAGGCAGACTCAAAACCAGCACACATCTCATAAAAGAAATCTCTTACAGAAGAAAACCTGACGTATCTAATAGCATTAAACACTACAGAAAAATTAGTCTGGAGGACAACAGCCATTAAAAGAGGATAAAGAATAGGGCAGCCACATAAAGTAAGAAAAGACTGCGAGAAAGATATACACGTTATGAAAGAACTTCCATAGAAAGCTAATTCCAAAACGTTATGTGGTAAAATAGATACAGAATAATGACTGTGTACATATACATATGTATATACACATATACATACATATCTACACAGACCACACGCAAAAGTATGTAAAATACACTTGGTTGTATTTTATCTAAGGTGGGTAACATCAAAATGACAGCCATCTATCATTTTGCTGTATCTTCTTACTTTTTAAACCTATCAGAAAGAAAAGAGTAAAGAATTTGCTCTATTTCATACAGACATAAAAGCTTTGTGCTCAGCAACCACGGGAAATTCTGCTCAGGGGTGATATCAAAAACCAAAGTGGGGTGCTCATGATTGTTTGAAATAGACGGGGGGTGGGGGTGGGGAGCAAACCAGATTGGGAAGTGCTCAAGAATTTACCCCTTGCGTTGGTGACACTGCCCCCCTCCCATGCTGGGCTAAAGTTGGGGGGCCTCTTAGGGTCCCCTTGGTGGGAGTCAGTTACTTTCTAAGCCCTGGAAAAGCAAGTGTGCTGTGCAAGCAAGCACTTGGAAACAGATCGGGGTCAGCCCCTCTTCTTCACTTTCTACCCACAAGGATCATTTTCGTGGGTGCCCCAATGCTGGGGCCGGGGTTCCTTTTTCAGCAGTTTCTTTTCCTGTTTCTTCGAGTTCCACCGGGGACGGTGTGCTGGGGGTCATGTTCCCCATTCCTGGCACTGGCTTCAGTTAGAATCGGGGACTCTAAAGAATCTGCTTAGTTTGGTTCTTGGCCTTCTCTGGGTGGTATATGACTAAACTTCTCAGTGTCCTGTTAAATCTACCATCATCTAGCCCGGGGCCTGAGCCCAAAACTGGGGCACTTTTATTGTCCAATTTTCAAATCACCAGTAGAAAACACAAAACACAAATCCGTATTTTCTTGGATCATTTTCTCTTTCTCCTATTAATGCTATGATTTTCAATTTGTCAGTTTCTTTTTGCCTCCTAAATTGAATATACTTTTATCTAACCAATCCTTGGGACAAGTTAATGCTACATGTCTGACCTATTTCTTATACCCCCTGAGACTTATGCTGTTTCCTTTTAAAACTGCAAGTTGTAGCCCTCCCTGGTGGCGCAGTGGGTTAAAGCACAGCACTGAGAAGCTAAAGCCACTTCCATATGAGTTTAATTCCCGCCTGCCCTGGAGGTGACCACATGGTGTGGCAGACCTCTCCTGACCCGCCCGCTGCTCCCCTCAGCAGTGTACTTTGTCGATCTGCCTGTTCTGCTCCCACTCTGTCTCCCGTGAAGCTTCTCACCACCCCTGAGCCTCTGGCCTGTACCCCAGTTCTGTATGTACAAATAAAATAAATCTTAAAAAAAAAAAACCTGCAAGTTGTCCATATTTTTAAAAATTTCCTTTAAGAAAGTAGGAGATGATAAACAGAGTCTGTCATGATTATCTAGCATAGGCTGTTCTTTTAATAGCTTACCTCTGCTTAGTGCAGTCTCTGGAATGTTCAACGTGTTTCATCCTAATTAAAATTTTATTTTCCTTAAGGACAAATTAATTCCACCAATTCAAGAAGTGGAAGTCCCAGAAGTGCTGTGAGAGCCCTCTCCACTGTGACTCTGCTCAACCATGCGATCCGATCTAGCTGCCTACCTAGGGCGAGCTTGATGTCAATTTCTTAGCATCAAGTTCCAAAGAAAGGCTATGTTTTCAGCCATCTTGCAAGGATGATTGGCTTGTTGTAGTTTTCACTGAAAGGAGATGAGTACCCCAGGAAGAGGAGCAAAAGGAAACGGGGCGGAGCTCACCTATTGATGATGGTATTCGTTACGAGTTGTACTTACTTCCTTCAAAGCAATACTCTAGCACATAGCCATCTAACCCTGCCGCACCGATCTGGTCCGGGGGCCTCCACTTCATTGTGACTGAGTTGTCCGTGACGGAGTCGACAGCCAGGAGGGTGGGAGGGCTGGTGACAGCTTCACAGGAAAAGAAAGAGAAGAAGGAGAAATTATCCACATAGCTTGGGCACTGGGCCTGTGATCATAGGGATTAAGACAAGTAACAAGATCCCCAATGCTGTAATAATGAGGTCTTCGGGAGCACATGCTGTGTGCAAAGGCCAAAGTTTGCTAGGTAGGCAAATTTTTAGAAATCCTGCCACACTTTCCCTCCAATTTGGGAGGTTGGTTTGGGAGGTTGAGAAATGTAAGGAAGCTGAAAGAGGTGAAAGCTTGTGATCAAAATTTCCCTTAATTCTACCATTTTAAAGTATAGCTTTTGTACAAACCCTGCTTTCTATTGAAAAAAAAAAAAAACAAAAAACCAAAACACTAAGAAGTGGAGACACTGCTTTCCATTTCTATATCTTTACCTTTATTCAATATTTTTTGGTTCTAGAGATAATATTTAAGGTGAGATTATAAAGCAAAAGCAAAGAAGCTAACTTTTTTTTTTTAAAGATTTATTTATTTGTGCATACAGAACTGGGGTACAGGCCAGGGTTGCAGCGATGATGAGAGGCTTCACCAGAGACAGAGTGGGGAGCAGAACAGGCAGATGGACTGAAATACATTACTGCTGAGGGGAGCAGCGAGTGGGTCAGGAGAGGTCTGCCGCACCATGTGGGTCACCTCCGGGGCAGAGGGTCAAACTTGCACTGAAGCAGCTGCCACCAGCTTGCAGTGCTGTGTCCTAACCCACTGTGCCACCAGGGAGGGCCCCAAGGCTAATTTTCAAATGTGTGTTATTGAACTGTTTTCGAGTTGTCCTAGTTATTGCAGAGTTCACACAAGGTGCAGGTTATACTTTCAAAAGGAGAGGGGTCATATGTCAACAGGCTACACTTTATGTTTTCAAACTGAGCCACTCTCAGCTATTGGAATTCTGGTGATAAATTTCAGGTCCTACATTATAAATGTAGTATTCAATGCCACTAAAGTTTTTTTTTTTTTTTTTCTTTCCTTAGACAGGCAATTGCCCCTGACAGCCTCTAACCTCCGGCTCACTCACCACCCTAAGAAGCTACCAGGTCTGCTTCAGTTAGAAGTGGGGAGGAAGGGGCCCTCCCTGGTGGCACAAGAGCTTAAAGCACAGCACTATAAAGCTATCTGAAGTCACTGCTGCATGAATTAAATTCCAGGTCAGGGAGGTGACCCACATGGTGTAGCAGACCTCTCCTGACCCACTCGCTGCTCCCCTCGGCAGTGTATTTCAGTAGATCTGCTCCACATTCTGTCTCTGGTGAATTCTCTCACCCTCCCACACCTCTGGCCTGTACCCCAGTTTTGTATGCATAAATAAATAAATCTTAAAAAAAAAAAAAGCAGTGTGGGGCCCTCCATGGTGGTATAATGGATTAAAGCTCAGCACTATGAAGCGAACTGCATTCACTGCAGCTGAGTTTGATCCCCAGCCAGGGAGCTGACCCACATGGTGCAGCAGACCTCTCCTGACCCACCCACTGCTCCCCTCAGCAGTGTATTTCAGTTAATCTGTCTGTTCTGCTCCACACTCTGTCTCTGATGATTCTTCTCATCCCCAATACCTCTGCCCTGTACCCCAGTTCTTGCATGCATAAATAAATCTTAAAAAAAAAAGCAGTGGCGGGCCCTCCCTGGTGGCGCAGCGGGTTAAAGCCTCTCACCCTCCACATTTCTGGCCTGTACCCCAATTCTATATGAATAATAAAAAAAAAAAGCAGTGGGGAGGAAGTAGTCATAAATCTGGGGCAATGATTTCTCCATGCCAAAAACATATTCTTTTTTACTTACCCAAAGGAACAAAAGGCTTGGATGGCATACTGGGCTTGGAGATGCCGATGGCATTGACAGCGAAGACGCGGACCTCGTAGGCAACACCTTCAATCATCTTCTTGGGCTCAAAAGTTGTTTCTTTGCAGAGATCAAAATTCAGTCTCATCCACCGGGAGCTTTGTTTCTTTTTCCTTTCAATAAAGTATCCTAGAGATGACAGAGAATGGAAGCTGAGGATTTTCCTTGGTTTCCAACAAATAAACTTTGTTAGATGTTAGAAGTTCCTAAAATTTCCCGTATCCTTAGCACCTTAAGTGAAATAGTCATGCATGTATTTTTAAATAAATCCACCTTATTCCATCAGTTTTTTTTTTTTAAAGAGTGCTTAGAAGCAACATAAATATCAACCCTGGAATATGTAGATAAAAATAACAGGGTTAGAAAAAATTTAAATTGTACTAGGAAATAAACAGAAAAATAAACCACAGGTAGATGAGCCTGAGCAACTTACACAGCTGCTATGATGAGCAGGAGATTTGGTTCTGAGACCCAGCCATGGAGGTAATAAGGAGGCAATGACCGGTTTTGCGCACTTCATTACTAGCAAGTCAAAAAAATTCTTGTTCCACAGTTACGGAAGCAAATGCTTCCAAATATTTAATTCTAAAAAGAATGTCTTCATAGAAATTACAGAACTTAAAATTATATGGAATCAGACATTCATTGATGGAGTTTAAAAACAGACTTCTAATGTTTTAAAATGAGGAATTGGTCCACATGTCCAACAAACAAAACGGAAGGAACAATCCCATGATCCACTATAGAATGATTTAAATTTCAGTGTTCAGAGAGCATCCCAAATACATTCCAATTTGAATGGGTACACAACGTCTCGGTATAACAGGCTTTCTTGTAAATGCAGTATCTTTAGATGTGCTCTGCTCACGTATATAAAGAGGACTCAGCTCTAGGTGGCTCCACAAATGGACCAACAAGTGTTACCTAAGATTGGGGACCCGCCATCATAGGTAGGAGGCTCCCAGCTCATTATGCACCAGTCATCTCCCACGTCTGACACATTTGGGGCCACTGGAGGATCGGGGATATCTGTGGTGAAGAAAAAAAGTTAAATACAATGAAATTACACAAGAGATTATGTACACAGAGAAAACTATTAACTGGAAAATACCTGCATTGGTGATAATCATAGAAGCAGTTTTCCCGCCATATTTACTCCAATGCACTTAGTAACTAATATGGGCAAAAACAAAACCAGATAAACCATGCTCCATATGAGATCAGAGGTGAGCTCAGGAAGAATAAAAATAAAAATACAAATTGTAGTGTTACACCATTAGAGAACAAGCCCCACAGGGCTCAAGACTCATGTTCCTTACCTTGAAAATAATAACTACACAGTCCTTGCTTAATATCAAGTATGTTTGGCCCTCCCTGGTGGTGCACTGGATTGGGACGCAGTACTGCAAGCTGGCCACAGCCACTTCAGTGCAAGTTCGATCCCTGGCCCTGGGGGTGACCCACGTGACACGGCAGACCTCTCCTGTCTTGCCCCCTGCTCCCCTCAGCAATGTACTTTGTCAGTTTGCCTGTTCTTTGCTCCCCACTCTGTCTCTGGTGAATCTTTTTACCACCCCTGCACCTCTGGCCTGTACCCAGTTCTCTGTGCATAAATAAATAAATCTTTTT